ACGGCTGCTAAAGTCTAGACCAAAGTGTTTCCAGAGCTGAAGGCTACACTAAGTTTTCGACCAAATCCCTCCAGAGAGGTCTGTGCTTGCTGCATTTAGCCAGACCACCTCTCTTACGATTCTAAAGGAGGTGATCTTAGTATTGTTGCTTTTATTTCCCCATGATTCAAACCAAGATGAAGGCAATGTTTCTTGAAATGGCCTGCTGCAGCAGAGGAAAGCTAATCCAGCTCTAGTAACCTAAATCTAACCACCGAAGGAGCAACACGGGGCCAAGATTGCTGTTTGCAGAGGAGCTGTTAGAAGCCGTCCGCCAAACACAGGTCCTGCCTGAGATGGAGAAGATTTCCTGAGATTTCCCATCTTGCATTATGCCGTGCAGCCTTCTTAGCTAATATGAGGTGGCTGGGTCAGGTGGCTAATCTACTGATCATAGCGACTCTGTTTAATCATAGTAGTTCAACCCAGTGTGGTGCGGAGGGGTTGGGAGTTAAAGACCCCTCCAACAATCATTACCCTGAACTCACAGGAGACTGATTTATTGGGGGGGTGTACAGTTTCATTAATAGGAATAAAAACATTTCAAACTAAGTCAGTTCAGTTTCGTAGAGTTAAAACATTTATCAGAGCTCACCTCTTTGCAGCTGAAGGTTGGTCAGATTTAAAATCAAGAATGTCTTCCTTTGACCAGTCGCTCTTTAAAGAAACACAGCTGGGTTCTGGTTTGAGGTTCTGTTGGATCCTGAAGGAAAAATTCAAAATTCAATCTCAATTCATTTATTTTCTATTTGTTTGTTTTACTTGTTCTAGTCTTAAAGTGATGATTAAACCCCTTTATATCAGCAGCTTTATTCTCAGCTGATCATTCCTGAGCTTCTGTATAGCTTTAATACAGATAATAATGATGCATTCAAAGACCTTTCATTAATGTAGTAATCCACACTAAATTTCCTATCAAAGCTTCATCTTGTTCTTATCATCAAACTTCCTCCAGCAGCAGGTCAATGATCTTGTATTTCTGATGACATGTAGCGGCTGCTGAAGGAGACTGTGGAGCAGTTTGCTAATAATCAGACTGCTGATCATTTTGAATGAACACAGATGAACTTTAGAAGCTGCTGATTTCACTGATGTTTGCAGATAACAGTGAGAGATCATGTTTTCCATCAACCCAGTGTGGTGCGGAGGGTTTGGGAGTTAAAGACACCTCCAACAATGATTACCCTGAACTCACAGGAGACTGATTTATTGGGGGGGAAATTGTACAGTTTCATTAATAGGAATAAAAATGTGGAATAAAAACATTTCAAACTGAGTCAGTTCAGTTTTAAACATTAAAAAAAAAGCAAAGCTCACCTATTTGCAGCTGAAGGTTGTTCTGATTTAAAATCAAGAATGTCTTCCTTTGACCAGTCGCTCTTTAAGGAAACACAGCTGGGTTCTGGTTCTTGTTCTGGTTTGAGGTTCTGTTGGATCCTGAAGAAAAAACCCTGAATTCAATCTTAGTCTAATAATGTATTTAAAGTAAAACAGAGAAGCACAGAACTCCCACAGTATGCCACAGTGGATCTAGTTTGAAGTGGATCTGATAATTAATTAAAGCTCTGATGATAATTAATAAGGGATGATGTTTGGGTTTGTTAGCAGGAACTGAACAATAATCAGAAAATTTGGATGTAGAACAGTGTTTGATGTGTTCTGATCTTCTATCCTGACAAACTTCATTCCATTGGATCAGTGTCAGAATGCTGATGGAGAAATGAGTTCCATTATGTTCATGCTGTTAGTATTAGTCTTTAACTGATGATTAAACCTCTTCAGAACAGCAGCTTTATTCTCATTCAATTCATTTCAGTTCATTTATAAAGCGCCAGTTCACATCATGTCATCTCAAGGCACTTAAGAGAACCAATTCCACCAGATCATACAGTCAGATTGGTTCAAATTTTTCTATCTAAGGAAAACCAGTTGATTGCAATCAACTAACACTAAGCATGCTTGTATTGACAGTGGAGAGGAAAAACTCCCTTTGAACAGGAAGAAACCTCCAGCAGAACCAGGCTCAGTGTCAGCGGCCATCTGCTGAGGCCCACTGGGGTTCAAGGAGACAGAAGCAGAGATACAAAAAGAAAAAAAAATCAGAGGATGAAAGAGAATAAATTGAGTCAATCACAGTCAGAGAAATACACTGAAAAAAATAATGCAACGGCTTTTACTTAATCATGTTTAGTTACTTTAACAGAATTGTTTTATGTCCTACGCTGCCAACATGAAACAATTGTGTTAAAGTAACAAAATATGATTAAGTAAATGCCAAAAATGGTTGCATACAAAAATGGCCCAGCTCCAGCATCTATAAACAAAAGTGTAGATGGCAGCAGCACAGCTGATATTTCTCTCCAGGATGGAGTCACAGCCAAACAGGAACAGACCAGATGAAGCTACTATGAGAAAAAGCAGAACGTTAGAGATTGAACTAACAGATTCTGCAGAGTGGGAGAATAGTAAACTAGTCCCACTCACCAGCGGCCAAAATAATTTTTTCCTGCGAGTTGGTCTAGCCTCGATCAATGCGCCCGGCCCTAAATCTGGCAGCCCAATCACAACGCAGAGATCTGTTTTGAATGTCTGAATGCAAGGTGGGGGTTTTTTGAGGGTGCGGCGACAAGGCTGCACACCGCTGGAGAAAGCACAACAGTAGCATGCACTACGGCAGCAGCAGCTTTCAATGGAGTGCTCCATTCAGTTAAAAGTTCTCTTGTCTGTTGCTGCTGTTCAATAAAAGTACGTTTAAGATCATTTGAGGCAAGAACATTATACCTTAAAGCGTCACTATATGGTCCATTTACTGATTTAATGCGTAATTAAAAAAACAATTTCCGAACTTGAGAGGACCGCGGCAAGCGGAGCTCCGAGGCTAACGGCAGCCAGGGCTAACCGCAGCCCATCTGCAGCGGCCTTCTCTCGGCATAGCCGTGTGTGAAGGACTGATGGCGATTATTGATTCAGTTTTGGAAGGGTTACAATTGGGGCTTCTGTTGAAACGTGAGCAGGAACAGAATGTTTATTTAAACTCCTCCACCAGCTTGCTGTCACACTTCCTACGTCACAGTCAGTGGCTCTCATTGGTCAGAGCGTTGGCCATTAGGCACAGACTTGGTTTGAAAGACAACGGGTTGTTCTCATCAACAATCTTCTGATGTCTCATTCATCGGGTCCAGACTAAATAACACCTTTAATCTCACATTTAGTCTGGTTTAACAGGCTAGCAGAGTGGGAGAATAGAGATAGAATGAAGCAGAATGTTAAAAAAGGGGTCCCTATGTCCTCCAGCAGTCTAAGCCTATAGCAGCAGAACTATAGAGATAGCTCAGGATAACCTGAGCCACTCTAACTAGAAGCTTTATCAAAAAGGAAAGTTTTAAGCCTAGCCTTAAAAGTAGACAGGGTGTCTGCCTCACGGACTAAAACTGGTAGTTGGTTCCACAGGAGAGGAGCCTGATAACTAAAAGATCTGCCTCCCATTCTACTTTTAGAAATTCTAGGAACCACTAGTAAACCTGCAGATTGAGAGCGAAGTGCTCTGTTAGGAACATAAGGAACAATCAGATCTCTGATATCAGATGGAGCTTGGCCATTTAAGGCTTTATATGTGAGAAGGAGGATTTTAAATTCTATTCTGGATTTAACAGGAAGCCAATGAAGAGAAGCCAGGATAGGAGAGATCTCTCTTTTTCATTTTCATCAGAACTCTGGCTGCAGCATTTTGGATCAGCTGAAGGCTTTTAACTACAGTTTGTGGACTTCCTGATAGTAAAGAATTACAATAGTCCAGCCTTGAAGTAACAAATGCATGGACTAGTTTCTCAGCATCAACCCTGGATAGGAGATCTCTAATTTTTGCAATATTCCTCAGATGAAAGAAGGAAATTCTAGAAACCTCTTTGATATGGGATTTAAATGACAGGTCCTGATAAAAAAAATAATGCCAAGGTTTCTTTTTTAACTTTATTATCTGATATCAGTTTAATCCCATCCAAATGAAGTGACTGACTAATCAGCTTATTTTTCAAACACTCTGTTCCAAAAACTATAACTTTTGTTTTGTCTGCATTCACGAGCAGAAAGTTAAGAGTCATTCAAGGTTTTATGTCTTCAAGACATGCCTGCAGTCTGGGAACCACTAGTAAACCTGCAGATTAAGAATGAAGTTCTCTGTTAGGAACATAAAGTGCAATCAGATTTTTGATATACAGTAGTAGCCATTCAAGATGGCCCTTCGTAGTCAACCGCCGGCCGAATGGCAGCCTACTCCCCTGCGACTGTTCGTAAAATCCCATCCAACTTTCAGCCACTGGCATTCTCCTGTTGCCTTTTGTATCTATGCTTCTTTTTCTATGTCTGCTTCTGTCTCCTTGAACCCCAGTCGGCCTCAGCAGATGGCCGCTCACACTGAGCCTGGTTCTGCTGGAGGTTTCTTCCTCTTCAAAGGGAGTTTTTCCTCTCCACTGTCGCTACAAGCATGCTTGGTGTGAGGGATTGCTGAAGAGTCAATGAGTCGATGCAATCAGCTGGTTTTCCTTAGAAAAATTTGAAGCAATCTGACGGTTTCATCTGGTTGAATTGTCTCTGTATAGTGGCTTGAGATTACATGTATTGTGAATTGGTGCCATATAACAAACTGAATTGCATGTAAACAGAGACATGTGAGAAAGAGTTGTGTTCACATTAATATGATGGAATAATGTTTAAATGTAGTTAATTTAGTTTACATTTTGTTTAAATTAATTATTGGACTGTTTATAAACAGCTCACCTGTTTGCTGCTGAATGCTGGTATGATGTAAAAGCAGTATAATCATCCTTTGACCTGTTGGTTTTTAAGGACACACTCCTGGGTTCTGGTTCTGGTTGTTTCCTGTGAATAAAGATGGTTTGGTGATGTTCATGCTGAGCTCTGACATGGAGAAGAGTCCTGGACAGTTAGAGATGGTGATCTGACCTCTGAACTTTGCTCTGGTCCTCATGTTCTCCACACAGAGTGGTTTTAGAGGGAGGGACTCTGTCCTCTCTGTCCTCACACTGATCCATGCTGCTCACTTCACATCAGCTCACACACCTTCTACCTTCATCTGAGGAGGAAAAACTCATCATTCAGCCAAACATCAACTCTGATCAACAACACTGACAGAAAACAGAAGGTGGCGCTCACTGATGTCTGTTAAAATATTCTCCGTAGAAATCCCTCTGCAGTCTCTGACTGGTGAGTCAACATTATTCCATGTTTATCAATAGGCTCATCAGACATGAACTCTGATCTGCAATAAAACTAGTTAAAGATCAACTGGAGTCAAAGTCTGGTCCAGAACCTGAATTTGATAAGAACTCCAGTCTGAAAGTTTTCTGAGGGATAAACATAACATTACAGTCAGAGTTGGTCTGTTGAGGTACAAAGCAGCAGCAGAGGGGATGAACGCGTAGAGTGGGATTGCTAGGAACAACCTGCAGCTTCTCAGCTTTCACTCACAGCCTACTGCTGTACAGTTTCATGGGATCAGACTCGTGTCTCATCAGGAGACTAAATCTTAGTTTGGAGATTTTAATAAATAAAGACAAACTCACTCAGTTTCCTCCCATGAACTTCATCACTCAGTTCTGCTGTCTGGACCAGGTCTGTGTAGAAGAAGAGCAACTCCTGGACTTCTTCTGTGCTGTTGTTCCTCTGAGTCTGAAAGCTTCTGTTACTCTGAAAACAGTTATAATAATCCAGCTCACAGGGCAAAGATCAGCTGCTATATAACTTTATACAACTTCAACCTGTTTAATGATTAATGCTGCAAGCGGACCCATAAAAAAAAAACTGTAGAAACTCTGATGGTACAAACGCCCAGAACTGTTCCTATTTTAGAGACCTGGGCATCCCTGGTTTGTTTTCTTGTTTCCAGTCTGCAGGATCCAGACAGAACCTGTAAAAGCAGCTTATCCAATAAACTAGAGTTAAACAGGAAACTACCTGGATGTTTTAAATCAAAATACATGTTGATGTAGTTCTGTTCAATTTCCTGGTTCCTTTGGTCTTTCTCTTTTTGAAACTGAGATATTGGTGACTTGTGTTCTCACCTCTTCAGATCCAGGCCTGTTGTGTTGTTGTTGGGGATTTTTATATTCATGTTGACAGATGGGTTCTACACAGTTTCTGCTTGATTCTGCTGATCAGCAGGTAATTAGACCCAGATGTGGATAGATTTGTTTCTTTTATGAATAAAATCATCCAGTGAAAACAGCTTTTTGTTTTTACTCAGATCATCTTTGATACCAATGGGTCATGCTTGGAGACTTCCCAGGTTGACTTTAGGCTTCCAATAATTATTATTAAAGTACCTTTAAAAGCATCCTCAGTCCAGCCAATGTGAATTTTTTGAGACAAGTTTGTGCGTCCCAAATATTTGCACAACACTTTAAAAAACTGAACGCCCCACCTTACGTCAAAATGGATGATTGATGACCTATGAGCCTGATGAGCTTGATGACTCCCACACCCGGAAAAATGTATTGCTTATGACCCACTGACTCCCCCACTTAGTCTGGTTTACCAGGCTAATGCCAGGGGGTGGGGGTGCATGGGATCAGATTGCATGAATAATTGAAGTCTACATTTTAATTTTGAAAATCCAATACCAAAAACGGCCAGAAGATGGCAGAATTACGTCTACCACTTGCATGAACACATTTTTTCAGTTTTGCTTCCGTTATCCTAAACAGGCCATAAATTAACCTACACTCACAAGGTGAACTGTTGCAAGGGTAGATGAAATTTAATCTGCCATTTGGAGAACATTAAAAGTTTTAATCTTCCGTGGAGCTTAACTGCATTGTGCCCACTCCAGGAAATTCAGTTCTCTCTATCATTCTTATCTCCAAACACTTATTTCTTTTTTTTTTTACTTTTTACACGTCTCCGTTGAATGGAGACGTAAACCCTGCAAGGTGACTTTCAGTGTAGAGTTTCACAAACATCCCAAGTTACAAAAACTAATTCCAGGGAGAACTGATGAGTACAGAATGAAGAGACAGTCTTGCTGTGAAATAAATATCTTTAATCGTTTTCGTCATAATTCTGAACACAGAGCTGGTCTCAATACTCCAGAATGTGACTAAAAATCAGCAAACCATTCAATGGCACTGCTGCGTCCGTCTCAAAGACCCAACCATGCAGAAATTCTCCCATTCAAAATAAAAAGAAAATAAAAAATATATATTAAAAAAATTATGCGTACCACTGATATACAGATCTCATATAAACAGGCGTATTGGTCACAAACCAATCAGAATTATAAACATGGCTTCTTTTACATACATGGAGACGCAACGGGAGGGGGAGGGGGGACGAGAGGACTGTTTAAAAACAAAGAGGGACATTTTTTATTTTACACATCTGTACATTTTCATTAATATTTTAACGTTCTCACCCTCTGCAGATCAGAACACACACACACACACACACACACACACACACCCAGGAGCGGCAGCAGTGGCTAAAGAGAGAACTGTTTGTGTATCTGAAGCAGACAAATACTGTTAATAAAGAGTTCAACCACTGTGGAGAGCGAGGCCCCCTGGAGGTAAAAATGACACATTACATTCAGCAGAGGTGACTCAACACACACACGTACACACACACACACACACACGTACAGGGAAACAGTGTTTAAAATGTGCAAAGAAAAGGTCTGTGAAGCTGCTTCAGCGACAGCCGCTGAGGAAACGGGCAGAAAGCTTCAGTGGGTCGCCCACAGCGCCTCCTGGTGGTGGAGCCTCAGATTCCCACACCCACCACTACCTTTAAGTGCTTTAAATTATCCTCTCGCTGCTGCCACCTAGTGGCCCAAAGAGACTCTACTACCTATTCATACGTACCGTAATCTGCTGGGGACAAAAAAAAAAAAAACACACACCCAGAATCTGATTGGCTGCTCAGAAACAGTCGGCGCATGAACGCAGTGAAACGTGCTGATGTTTCAAAGCTCAATCTGGATGCTTTTAATTTGGTGGGAACAGGAAGTGCTGGTTCCCTACGCTGCCACTGGAAACAGAAAAGGCACACGGCGAAGACGGAGGACAGACACGTTTGTGGGAGTGTGTAGAAGTGGGTCATCGGCGCCGCTCTGGGTTCTGGGAGGAGATTACATTCTGGGGTCGGGTTCAGGTCCGCAACACCAACATGTACCGATCTCGAGGGGGGGGGGGCGTACCGCGGTGTCGTCAGGAGGAAGAGCTCGACCTCTCCACTGAGAAATTAAGGTGCAACGTCGTCGAGGGAAGAAACTAATAAGATCGGGCTCTCTGTGGTCGCCAAGAGGAGAGCCCGGCCGGTCCTTCCCGCTCCAGGCTGGAAGGCGGGGGGGGGGGGGGGGGGGGGGGGGGCGTGGCCTCAGGTAAGGCCTAGTTTGGCAGCTCTGCGGGTGGGCGGGGCTTCAGTGTTCAGGATTTATGTACAAAGATGTGCCTCAGCAGCTCATCTGCAGACGGACGCTGCTTGGTCTCCACAAAGATCCGTTTGAGAAACTCTCTGCAGTGGTCCGACACCTGGGGGGGCAGCACCGGGTTGGTGGGCTGGGTGGCGATCTTAAAGATGGCCGCCATGGCCTCAAACTCCGCCCACGGCGGCCGCTGAGTCAACATCTCTACAACGGTGCAGCCGACGCTCCTTGGGAAGAGAAAAGGAGCGATCAGTTTACCTCCATCTGGACCATTAAGAGACGGAAACTTCTAGAACATCCGGAGGAATCAAACCTCAGCGACTTTTAACTTTTTAACAAATCTTAAATATAAACTAGTTTTAATCAAACTAAACATTTTACTGGCATGATGAGCTGATTGGTGAGAACGTTTCATTTATGGAATACGGTCCCAGGAAGACGAATCAGAGGAGGGATTGGTCAAACAGGATGAACCAATCAGAGGCCGTCATGCCTCCCTTCACTCTGCTGCCTCTGGTGGCGATCTCTGGTAATATTTCAGCTACTTTTGTTTTTGTTCGATCTGCTCAGCAGTTCAAACCTTATGAAGACTATTAGGGCCATTGGAAAAAAACAAAAAAACAGCCATCAATTAAAAACAAGATGGTTTCTGACTTTATTCTGATACTTCTGACCTAAAAGACAAAATTAATCTGATACAACTATGACTAATTTTATAATTCCACTTTATCAAAGTGCTAATTTAATAAGTGATGAAATAAGGCACAATAATGCTGGGCTTTGGCGATTTTAGTCCTGAAATTAAAGTCAAAGCTGAGATTAAAGTCAGAATTTGTGAGAATGGAAATCAGAATTCTAGTTACATTCTAGTAGTTACAAGATTAAAGTCAGAAGTCGGAACTCTGAGATTAAAGTCGTAGTTAAAGTGGAAGTTAAGAGATTAAAGTGGAAGTTATGATATTAAAGTCGGAGTTACTCGAGATTAAAATCAGAATAACAAGATTAAAGTCGGAACTCCGAGATTAAAGTTAGAGTTACGAGATTAAAGTCGGTTATGAGATTAAAGTCGTAGTTAAAGTGTGAGTTAAGAGATTAAAGTGGAAGTTATAATATTAAAGTCGGAGTAACTCGAGATTAAAATCAGAATAACAAGATTAAAGTCAGAATTTACAAGATTAAAGTCGGAACTCCGAGATTAAAGTTAGAGTTACGAGATTAAAGTCGGTTATGAGATTAAAGTCGTAGTTCCTTATCAAAGTGCTAATTTAATAACTGATAAAATAAGTCATAATAATGCTGGGCTTTGGCCATTTTAATCCTGAGATTAAAGTCAGAATTGTGAGAATAGAAATCAGAATTTTAAGATTTAAAATCAGAGTTACAAGATTAAAGTCAGAATTCACAAGATTAAAGTCGGAACTCTGAGATTAAAGTCAGAGTTACGAGATTAAAGTCGGTTATGAGATTAAAGTAGGAGTTAAAGTAGGAGTTAAGAGATTAAAGTGGAAGTTATAATATTAAAGTCGGAGTTACTCGAGATTAAAATCAGAATAACAAGATTAAAGTCAGAATTTACAAGATTAAAGTTGGAACTCTGAGATTAAAGTCAGAGTTAAGAGAATAAAGTCTGTTATGAGATTAAAGTCGTAGTTAAAGTAGGAGTTAAGAGATTAAAGTGGAAGTTATAATATTAAAGTCGGAGTTACTCGAGATTAAAATCAGAATAACAAGATTAAAGTCAGAATTTACAAGATTAAAGTCGGCACTCTGGGATTAAAGTCAGAGTTAAGAGATTAAAGTCTGTTATGAGATTAAAGTTGTAGTTCCTTATCAAAGTGCTAATTTAATAAGTGATAAAATAAGTCATAATAATGCTGGGCTTTGGCCATTTTAATCCTGAGATTAAAGTCAGAGTTACGAGATTAAAGTCTGAGTTATGAGATTAAAATCAGAATAACAAGATTGAAGTCAGAATTCTGAGATTAAAGTCTAGGATTAAGGCTCAAGTTCTGAGATTGAAGTCAGAATTCAATAGCCTTTATTGGCCATTATTTATTATTTTCTAATGACCCTAATCCTGTTCATTCCAAATCTTATTCTAGTTCATGAACAGATTATTTTAGGAGGTTAGTGACGTTAAGCCAGGAGAGAAAACCCTCATCAGTTTTCATGTCACGCTTTAAGTCAAATAGATCTTATAATCCTGATGCTCCAGTTTAAATGAGGCAACCATGACATCACAGTCTGAGGAGCCTCTGAAGACGGGAAACTATTCCTGATCTCCAGCAGCCTGGTCGGTCTCACCAGATGTCGGCTTTCCTGCCGTATCCTTCGCCACTGATCACCTCCGGACTCATCCAGTACGGCGTCCCCGTCACCGACTTGATGCCCGTTCCTGACAGGCAGATGGTCTGCAGCCGGCGGCTGGCCCCGAAGTCCCCCAGCTTCACGTTTCCCACAGAGTCCCGGAGGATGTTGGCCCCTGAGGGAAGAAGACGACCTTCCTTCATCTTCATCTTCCTCCAGCTGGGATTAAAGTCAGAGCGCCGCTCACCTTTGATGTCCCTGTGGACGATCATGTTGCTGTGCAGGTAGGACACGCCCTCCAGGATCTGCCGGGTGTAGCGCCGCGTCACGTTTTCCGTCAGCGCGCCGTAAGACTTCAGCTGGTCCTTGATGGAGCCCTGAGGGAGCGGGACAGGAGGAGACGGTGAGGGAGGAGAATCCACGGCGGGCGGGCGGGGGGGGAACCAGAACTGAAACTCACTCCAGGCATGTGCTCCATGAAGATGGAGAGCGTCCGCTCCAGGCTGTCCCGCAGGCAGCCGTAGTACTGGACGATGCGCTCGTGGCAAAGGTTCTTCAGCAGCTGGATCTCACACTCCAAGGCGCTCACCTCCTGAGGACGAACATCTGATGAGATCCCGCCGCCCCTCAGAGCCGCGGATCCCTCTGGGCCCGCCCACACACTCACCTTGCTGGTCTCTGGGCTCTCGGGGTCAAACTGGACCTGTTTGACGGCCAGCTCCCGCCCGGTGTCGGCGTCGTAGCAGAGGTAGACGCGGCCGAAGGCGCCCTGGCCCAGGAGCTTCCCCATCCTCCAGTTGGTGGGGGCGCGCGGAGCTGAGGACGCAGACGGACAGAGTGAGAAACACGGCGGGAGCCACGCTGCCGCCGCTCCGGGTGCTCCACTCACAGCGGCTGGGGGGGCTGATGTCCATGACGGACAGCGTCGGGGTGGCGGCGGGGTTGGGGTCGATGTCGCTGCCCCTCCGCCTCCTGCCGGGGCCCGGGGCCTCCTCCAGGTCGGGGGTGAAGACGCTGCTGCCGCTGCTGGTGCTGGGAGACTGCTCCGTGGGGCTGAAACTGACCGGAGAGCGGAAGCCGTGGACCTGCGTCCGCCGCGCCCGGGGGAACGTCTTCCTCCCTGCGAGGAAGAGCAGAACCTTCAGCCTCCCGACGCCGGAGCGCCGCCTGATCCGGACGGAACCGACTCACCGTCGCTGTAGTCCTGCAGGCCGAAGGGGATGCCGTATCGCCGCGGATACGTCCCGCCTTTCCCCGACTTCTCAAACACCGGGAGGTCGTACTCTGCGGAACAAACGAATTACATCTGATGCCGGTAATGCTCTGCTGCTACCACAAGGTGGCAGCGATCCTCCAGGCCTCTGCTGCCTCTGAGCCAGGAGGTTTAGTCTCACCTGGAAAGTCCTGGTGGTTGTCCGGGTAACTCTGCGCCCGGGGCATCCTGGACTTGGGATAATCGCTGGAGGAAAAAGCAGGAGAAATCTTTAACTCTCATCCTCCAGATATCTACCGCTTATAAACAGCCTCTCCTGTGCGGCTCTGACCTGTCCAACGGGCTGTCCAACGAGGGACAGCTGCCAGACGCAGAGTTCTCTGGACTGCTCATCGATAGCGGGTCCAACATCTGGAGGAGAGACAAACTAATCAGACTCGCAGTTCCATTCCTTCCCGCTCCTACAGTTAAATTCAAGACTTTTTAACACTTTTTAACGCCGCTGGAAATAAAAATTTAAGACCAAAGAAACACAAGAAAAACCTGCTTGCAGCAACTTAACCCAAAGGTTTATTCTAACATAAACCACTGCACTAATGTTTCAGATTTTGAAAAGCTTCCCATACAGGAAGAAAGCTAAAAACACACAAATACAGATATATTTTAACAATTATTTAACTGAATTCACAAACTTTGTTTTAGCAGGGAACAAAACTAATCAGTTTTAAAGCCCCAACATAACCAGTGCTAAGTCTTTTTTGCAGCTATTTTTCTTTGTATGGTTTTCTTAGTATGTTTGATTTGGTGATAAGTGGAGGCGTTGCAGAGACAAGGGTGGAACTAAACTGAGAAATACCGCCTGTTTCTCTCTAACTCCATTTTGACGCTTTGTGCTTCGTGCTTCGCATGTGCGACTCCACTGCCTTAATTCCCATCGTTTTGAGCTTAAAATCCACTGAGCCTCATGTATGTTCCCTGGTTTTAGCCGTGGAGAAAACTCTTGGCTGGAGACTATTTTCATTACATTTACACTTGATCATATTTTCCAGACAAAAAGTTAATGGTGCATCTCCCAAATGTCCCGGATGCAACAACGCTTTTATCGGTTCCGCTATCGGGACGGAACCAATAATGACGAGCTGTTATTTTTTTTTTATATATAAAAAATGGTCAAATTTAACGTTTTATTAACATTACAAAAATAAATCGTAATAAAAATAATCCTATTTATGATGTTTTAAAAATCAAGACCTACGAAAGACTGATTTAAGACATTTTAATACCAATTAAGGCCTTAGTTTTATTTTGAAGAATTCAATGCCTTTTAAGACTTTTTAACCCTATAATGCCAAATGTATCGTATTTGATACATACGGTTTCTGAAATGTTTTGCGTCTGACATCTTTCGCATAATTTAATGGTAAAAAATTTGCTCAAAATCCTATTGTTCACAATCAGATATACCTGATAACAGAGGGCACAAGACTACAGAAAAATGCTTTCATCTTGACTTATTGCATAGTAATAAATTATTAATATCCAAAATGGATTTCTGTTTTTTCTTTTTACATATTTTGTTAAAAGGCCAAATAAGGACTTCAAACCAAAAAAAAAAAAAGTTATTTTCTGTTTTGTTTTATTCTTGGCTTTAAAGGGTTAACCTGCTTAAAAACTACAACTCCCAGCATTCTGATCCTACTGGAGCTCCCACCGGCCGCCAGTTTGAGTCTAAAACCTTTATTTATGTTAATCATATGTTGTAGTTTGTTAATAAAATAAAAACGTAAAATTCAGGTTAATTTACGGAAGAGGATTTAAAAAAAATTTTAAAAGTTAACTGATTTCATTATGATAAAAAAAGTGAGAATTCTGACTTTTTTTCTCACAATTCTGACTTTAATCTCAGATCTCTAAATAAAGAATAAATTCAGAATTCTGACCTTTTGGGGAAAAAAAGTCAGTTACTAATGTGAATAAAATTATTTCCCTTTCAAATCTCCGAAGCGTCAAAATGACGGCCTTGGAGGGTTCGGTGTTAAATGATTTTTCTGAGGCGGAGCTCCTGCTGCGGCCGCCATTGGGAACAGCGGTGGGACGCTACGCTACGGCTAACCACAGCCTCAACTCTAACGTCCCCCTCCCCCAATAGAAGGTTCCGGCGGGTGATCCTGGTACCTGGTCCATGCTCTCGGGAATGAACTCCCCCTCGCTGTTGATGCTGGTGAAGGAGCCGTTCCTCGCCACCTGCTGCAGGGCGTCAGGGATGTAGCCCGGAGGAGGAGAGCTGCGATCTGTGGAGTGGGAGCCTGAGGAGGAGAAGAGAGATTTCAGAAACGATGGTGCTTTCAATGATCCTCAGAAATCAGACTATTAACAACAAATATACAACGTTTGGCGCATAAAGAGCTCTGAAACAGATCATCCTATTAGCACAAGTAGCACCTAAACGCTGAACATATAATAAAGTCTAACTACTGTTGATGCAAGCAGCCGCCATCTTGAATGTGGAAGTCTGATCCTGTTGCAGCGACTTTCTGACTCATAATTCAGGGCGTTCCAGTTGAAATCTATAACGTTGTACGTATCGACTTCAACGTAAAAATGTAAGGCAACATAAAACCCAGAGTTTAGATCTGATGGTACGACTGAAACAACCTGATTAATGTAGAAACAGTCGACTAATGGGGATAAAATATCATAAAACACTAACTATACTTAACAACGCAGAGTGGGTTTACATAAAGTGATCGTTGTGGTAAGAGCCTGTTTTAAAAATGGATCATATACATGCGCTCTACGCTATTATCTCATTTGCAATTTGATGCAAAGTGACCTTTTTTAATGTAGTCTAGTAAAATAAACTAACAATTAAACAGGAAACGCGGGGCAACGTGGATGGAGCGAGGTGTTTGGTAGAATAAGACGATCCGTACACATCGGTCACATCAGTAAATCAAACGCCGCGTGTTCCAGGGCTTTGGCATCGTTACAGGAAGGAAAAATGCCAAAACTCCTTCTCCTGGAAATGTGAGCATAGAGCGTGAAGGGATTTAGCCGCAGGGGCAGGAAAATGAAGGTGAGCGGATTTGGAGCGGCGCTCCTCTCCATGCTCTGCATGTCAGTGGATGTTTTAAGTGCGTCACTGAACACATGCATGTTTATTATTCCCTGAGGGCAGAGAAACTCACATAACTTCCATTTAACTGCTGTGGAGTAGAGATTTGTTAATAAGGTATTGATGCTGAATCACAGAATACTGACACCTGCTGGACACTTAAAGACACAACAGGCAGCTTAATAGACAGAATAAACTGAATTGATTTGATGACCTAGAACAACGATATCATTTAAGTTATTGGAGGTTTTATTCTATTATTTCATTTCTATGTATCTTTGCAGCAAATAAATAATGTAAACATGCATAATAACGTAGAAACTTGGGGGGAAATGTGGATGAGGATGCTTTGAGATTTGGTTTTTAAAACATAATTTTAAAACAATACGTACAGTTGAAAAAAGTAAATAAACTAAGAGTCAATTTGAAATTAGGCTTGTCCCGATCCGATCCACGTATCGGATCGGGACGCCGATATTGGCAAAAAAATGCGTATCGGCCAAGCATGTAAAATGCCGATCCAGACTGCCGATCCAGTTTTTAAAAAAAAATCCGGTCCGTATTTTCCAGTTTCGCCGATTGAAACGATCCATTCCACTATTTTGCGCCACTGTTTCCCTGTTTTGCATTTTTATTAAAACTTACAGTAATACTTGCACCTTTAACTGTTTACGGTTTTACTGCTCACTGTGCAATATTAGATTGCTATTCATAATTTTGTCCAGTTTGTGTTTATCTCTTAATAAACAGGTAAGTTTGTTGTTACCAAGCATTGTGTTTTATTCAATCTCACCTAATTCAGCTGGCTAGATGTTATCAAGAGTACTAAACCCTTTTCAACATGAGTCTTACAACTAAGGCTAAATACTTTAACTTAAACTTAAATACATGCTCGGATAGGCTGGTATCGGCCAGTATCGGATCGGAAGTCCAAAAACAATATCGGTATCGGATCGGAAGTGCAAAAACCTGGATCAGAACATCTCTATTTGAAATAAATAAAATAAATTCAGATAAGTTGGGTTATAACTGAGAGGAAAAGGATGACACAAGGAGAAATTTTAAATAAAAATGGCTGAAACTTTCCTTTTAGGCTCCAAAATACTTGATAATTTTAACGATAAACCGCAGAATATGTTTGTTTGTTTTTTTAGCAGATGCATCATGTTGACAGATCCGTTTTTAAACCCAGTTTATTGAGTCAGTCAGTTAGAAACAACTCCTGGATCGGTCACATGACTTTCTGGAAACGACACTGTTTAGTTAGCATGTATCAGTAGGCTCTTAAAGCAAAACATTTGGTAGTGTTTTATGGAGGTAAATTTGTGTCGCTGGGATTTGAATTAAAAATGTAACTGAAATTTAAATGTTTTATGTTTGTTCCATCTGTTTCAGTGTTGAAATATATTCAGAACATATTTTTGTCCAAAAAAAAAAATTGTCATTATTTCTACACAGTTGAAATTTCATGTTATTTTCTCTTCAAGCTAAAAATTCACATTACTATTTCAAAGTGATTACATTTTCAATACTTATTTTTCAGTTTAATTTAATTCTGCATATAAAAAAATTCAACCTTTCAAAATTCAAACTCAACGGTGAGTTTATTACTTTCATTTTTCTGTAGTTGAGTTAGCGTTAGCTTGCATGACCGGCTCCGTCATGCTGGTTTTCCTTCAGTATGAGCGCCACAGGTGTCACGTCACGTGACTAAGAAAACGTAACGGGATTGGCTGGGTGTTGGACGCCACAATCCATTGCTAACGTCTGTGACCTGAAGTAACCCTTCCCTTTTTACACTGAATTTAGACGCCGAATTTAAGACAGTGAAAATATTGAGTTTGAATTTTGAAAGGTTGAATTTTTTTATATGCAGATTTTTTTTAACACTGAAAAATAAGTATTGAAAATGTAATCACTTTGAAATAGTAATGTGAATTTTTAGCTTGAAGAGAAAATAAATGAAATTTAAACTGTGTAGAAATAATGACAATTTTTTTTAGGTCAAAAATGTGTTCTGAATATATTTTAGACTGAAACAGTAAGTACAAACATACAACATTTAAATTTCAGTGGCATTTTTCATTCAAATCCCAGCGACACAGATTTACTTCCATAGTGTTTACCCTTTACTGAATTTATCATCCTGTTCCACTCTTAGCCAGTAGGTGGCAGCAGAGTCCTACTTTCTGCTAAACTACATTTCTTTAGGCTGAATGTTATTCAAAGCCTGATCATATCTTTGAGTTTATTCAATGCATGTAAACATTTGCAGCTAATTTACTTCATTCTAACTGATATTTACTTTAAATATTACATTATTTGTGTTTTTCTTTAGGCCATGTTCCCTATGCTTACATCCACTACCTGAATATCTGTGTTCTCCATTGAAGCTGCATTCAGACGTGTTCCTATTGACACCCCAGGAAGATTCCAACGCATCTGAACCTGGTTTATAATCCAGGTCTTCTGGGTTTCTTCTAATCCAGCAATCAGAGCAGTAATTATTAGCAGTAACTGCAGGATTTATAGTGGAGTAACTCTAATTTACTGCTTTTTAATGCTATATATAAAACACGGCAAAATCCTTGGTCACCTTTCCCGTCGACAGGCTGCAGCCATGTCCCTAATTCCTTGTTTTTTTAGTCGCTTTTTTTTTTTAATTTGTGCATTTTCCCCCCTATTCTCTAGACCGGAAGCAGTCTGATATAATATATCTGATGAATTTGGGTTTTTTTGTTTTTTAATAAAGAATTTTAAATGCCACAATAATCACATTTTGTGAATTTTATGCCCATTAAGGCGTTAATTTAAAAAAAATTCAAATTTAAGGATTTTTAATGAGGCTGACATAGAAACCTTTTGTATTTAAAACACTTTTTTTGTCACTGAATCAGAAATTCTCACCTTCTCCTGCTTTAAATCCTAAATAAAATCTTCATGGCAGTTTTTACTCTCTGATTATTGATTAACTAATGATAAAAACAGTGGATAGTAGCAGTTTTATCGGCCATTATTCACCAGTCAGAGCTCTGAAGTCGGTGTTGTCCAGCTCTTCATGGGACGGCAGCAGGTCCATGTTGGAGGAAACGTTCTGAAATCAATAAAATCAAACATTTGGAAACCAAACCTAAACAGAAACTATTTTAATTCATCTAGAATAACTGAATCCACATGCTAGCATGTTAGCAGCAGCTAGCCAACAGCCATCCGATGTCGCAGAAAGTCTGTTTTATTAAAAACCGAATCTGATTTTCTCCTAAAAACGAATTAATTTCTGTTTTTCCTTTTAAATTTAACAAAAAACAAATGATTTACTTTCCATTTTAAACTCAGAGTGTGAGGAAGCGCCTGACCTGCAGCACCAGCAGGATCTTCAGGCTCTTCATGTGAACGCTGCGATCCAGCAGCTCCACGGCCTTGTCCAGGTCGTCCTGCGTCTTCAGGGGGATCACCAGCTGCAGCAGGAGCAAAACGCCTTAACAACGCCGCCTGGGTTAAAGCGGATCAATGGCGAGCGTTCTGCTCTCTACCTCGTTGTTGGTGTAGTGGAGCTCCATGGCCTGACCGAAGGCCACCCTGGCTTTGCTCTTCAGGTCGTCCAGCTTTAGGGGGCGGGGGAACTGCAGGATCCTGCAGAGAAGAGAGGAGCGGCGGTCAGAGGCTGCAGCTTATCGGATCATTTAAAGAGAACCGATCTCACCTCTTCTCTCCTTTAAACTCAAACTTCACTCTCACATCGTTCTGTGGGGAAAGCAAACAGAAGGAGACGCGGTTAAAGCATTTCAGCGCCGTTCGCCACCCGCCGTTTGAAAATGACCTTACCTGGTTCTTAGGCGAGGAGGCTTTGGGTTTCCCCAGCTCGGCCAGGAAGGCGGCAGGACGGCTGGATCGGTGAAGCTCGGCCAAGTCCTGCATGATGGAGTTCAGGGCCTCCTGCTCATCTGAGAGGGAAACGGTTCCGGGTCACTCAACACATTTACAACCTTTAGAACAAACATGGAGGCAGATTCTGACCAACGGCGACCCGGAGGGAAAGAGAAGGAGGGCGGACCTGCAGCCTCCTTTCATTCAGGGATTTTATTTTATTTTATTATATATAAACAACGATCACAACTAAAACTATTTTTAGTTTTTTACTGGTTAACTCTTTAAATCACATATTAGTTTTAGGTATAAACAATGATCCATTGATTATTCCTCGCTGAGCAGACTTTTCCTTTAAAGCAACATTAAAGGAAAACATTTTATTATTTTATATTTTTCAAATTAATCTTTATCAGATTAGGTTTTTTAAATGTGTTTATTTATAAATAGTTTTCTAGATGATTTTCCCTTTACTTGGGAGCAAAGCTGCGTTATAATTGGTCTGAATGGACGCTAGCAGCAGCGTTTTAATTGGTCGAGAAGAATCGCTTGTATTTGGTTGAAAGCGAAGAGAAGATCATCTGGGAAACACAACCTGAAAACAATATGAGCGGGAAAATCAGCCTGGAAAAAGAGAAATAAAAATATAAAATTTTTTAAAATTAATATCATTAGAAAAAAATTTTTCTTTTAAAAAATATTAAATCTGAAAAAAAGTAAGATTTTTTTAAAGGAAAAGTCAGAATTCAAACTTCTGAAACTACTTTAAATATGAAATTATTGGATAAAAATATCAAAATAACTAATTAAAATCATTAAAAATGTTTTTAAATAAAATCTGAAAGAACAAAATAATTCTCAGAACCTTTTTCTGACTAAGAATTATCTCAGTCTAATTAGTAAATTTCATTTTTACCCATTTTTTTAATGATTTTCTATATTTCCTTATTTTTCGTAGCAATCGTAGATCTATATTCCCTCCCTGCTGATTCAGAGCGCCACCGCGGTGGCAGGAGGACGGACAGCCTCACCCATCATGGCACGGCGATTCACCCAGGAGGCCCGGACAGAGGACTCTTCCATCCAAGGAATCCTTTTCTCCTGCAGCAGAACAAAGACCATTAAAGCTGAAAGCCACAGATCTAAGATCACAGATCTATGATCAGAGGACAGAGTTAAACCTCCCAGAGATCTGCCGTGTTAGATTAAATCTGCTGCTGCTTTTAGAGACGCAGCGAATTGCGTTCTTCTTCTCCTGATCCAATAGGAGTAAACAATTATAAACCAGCAGGTCCGAATAAAGAAAATAAAAAAACAATAAAGATCCAGACATTTTTTATCATAATCTGTTAAATTAGACAGAATTTAACTCAGAAATAAAATGCAGGTGTTTATGCATCTATATTATACGGTGAATTTTTAAATACATTTTTTTTTTTTATTGTCAAAATTTTCCATTTTAAAATCTAAAGTGATTTTTTTTTTAAGTAGAGAACAACAATCGCTCAGTTTGGTATAAAGACAATTTCCTGATTCACATATTTTTATAAACACCTGAACTGACCATTTTTTTGTTTTTTTTTTCTTTTTTTATGGCTTAACTCTTTAAAGGACACTCAGTGAAATACTTTGAAAATCAACATTTCAAGCCAATAGTGTTATTAGAATCCAGGAAAAGACCTTATTACCTTCGTAACATTCAGAAAATATGGATATTTTGATGGAAAAAAATCAAAGTCAATGTAATAACAAGAAACTTGGCCGAATATATTAAGAAAAACAACAAAAGTTTCTATAAAAAATACATGAAAAACACTCAAGAGTGAAAGAAACACACTTTTTTGGTCCAACATAACCTTAGAGAAATTAATGGTGATACTGGCACTGACATTTTTTTTGTTTATTGACCTAAATATAATTTTTAACTAAGCTTATTCACTTTTATTCTATTAGCTTTTTACTTTTTTTTCTTGACTTATTTTTTCCAGTAGGTAATAAATCATTAAGGGCTCATCTAATTGGTCAAATGCCAAAATGAGATGTACAGCCAGGTAGCAGGATCTTTGCTGAATGGCTGCATATAGATCTAGTGCTTCTAGACCTCACTGGGAGAAGGCGGTGACTCCATTTGTAAGAGGGATGCAAGGTATCAGAAACGCTAACTTGCTCCATAAAGGGTCAGTGTTGGCAGTGGGCTTTATGCTGCCCTGCAAGGCTTTAAACCTGGGTTTAACCGGAGACTAAGCCATTCTCAAGCACATATCAAGGAGCTCATTTTGAGCCTGGATCCAGATTTATTTCTGATTCTGTTCATGGTGGAGAATCCTGCTTCACAGCAGCAGGTTGAGCCAAACATCCTCTAAATGTTCAGGCTCCGCTCCGGTCCGGCCAGGTCAAGATCCGCTATTGCAATCGCACCAAACAGGAGAAAGAACGGCGAGAAGATTTGGTTTGTCAAATTAAAATATAATAACAACAGATCGGTAATTACAAATTAGAGCAAAATTCTCATACATTTCCAAAAACTAACACTGTTTATTTAAAAGATTGGATGAAATCTATTGGTGCTTCAACAGACCAGGAAGCAGATTTCTCAAGATGTATAAATTAGTATATATCAGAGGTTTAAATTAAGCGTTCATTTCTGCATGCTTTTAATGATAATATTGTTCTCTCCTAAAGCTCAGTGGACGTCTGAGCGCAGCAATAAGGGAGGAACAGCGGAGGCTGTGTATGGTAAGCCAAGAAGGCCACTTTTCGCCTTGAATTATCGGGTTAAGATTTAAAGTAACCCGCTAAAAACGCGGGTTTTCCCGAGATTTCGCCGTCTTTTACCAACAAGCGGCGCCTTTTACGTGCATCATGATGGTACTTAAAGTTCTTAAAGTCACAACGTAAAATACGCGCGTCTTGCGGTACCATCATGACACACTTAAAAGGCAGTGCTTGTTGGTAAAAGACGCCAAAAAAAGCGGCGAAATCTCGGGAAAACCCGCGTTTTTAGCGATTACTTTCAATCTTAACGCGATAATTCAATGCGAATAGTGGCCTTCTTGGCCGGTCGGCCAAGTCATAAAAACAGGAAATCAGGAAAAAGCTGAAATCCAACCGACCGGATTTATTAGATCAAAGAAATTACATCACAACATTTTCCGCATGCGAGTCTGTGTGTGCAATAGCGGTGTGCAAAATTATCGTCATGACGATGCATCGCGATTCTAATTGTTGTGATCTACTGCATCGATTCTTGATGCCAAGTTAACAAAAAGGAATAAATGAAATACATAAATGGTTGGCACACATCGCCCAACAACTAGTGGAATACAACTTTCAGTCCAGTAGATGTCGCTGCGGATACTGCGACGAGTCATTCATAAACAAAACATGGAGACTAAGAAAATTTGCCCAGCTCCATCTCATTCCAAGTCAGATGTTTGGATGCATTTTGGCTTTAAAATCATAGAAGGTAAAAACGAAATTGATATGACGCACGTCTTTGCAAAAGGGGAAATGTCAAACATTTGAATGTTTCCATTTCATTGGTTTAAAGGACCACTGAGGCCATGGAAACAGCACTGTTATTCTAAGTTTTATAAATCCTAAGCATTTTTTGTCAGTGTGTCCACGCCAGTAATAGTAATATTTGTGTCCATTTTGTTTTCATGGCAATACTTTCAATAGTCGTTTCAATAAATACAGCTACGTATGAATTCAGTTGCTTTCAGTTATGTATCAATTGAAGACACGATCCAGATCATACCCAGCCAGTCAGCCACTGGTTAGGGCTGTATTTTTTTCTTACAGTGTTCAGGAAAAATAACATTTCAAGTATCGCGATGCATCGTGATAGAATCGCATCGTGGCATGTGAATTATGATTCGGATCGAATCGTGACTTCTTTGGCAATACCCACCCTTAGTGTGCAAGTGGAAAGGTAATGGCTAAAGAAAGCGAGATAGGACGGTTTAGCGCCACCGCAGCAGGGGAGTAAGAATTATGTTCAGGAGCAAATGGATAAAAATAGACCGGAGGAAAAAAAACAACAAAAAAACATGAATCAATACTCTTGCATAAGTGTCGATGAATCGGATCATCGGCTGTTGGATCGATGCAAATTATTATTATTTACACCCCTAATCCTAGTTAGTGTTGCACCGATACCAATTATTAATATCATTTTACTGTCACACTACTATAATACATGCTATAATTTCATGAATGTTACACTATTTTGTAGGGATACACGATGTAATCGGCCCCCTATCGGTATCGGCCTTAAAACTGAATATCGGACATCGGCCACCCCACCGATATTTAACCTGATATTTGATCAGCTTCTGAGTTTCTAAAGTCTAAAAAAATAAAAATACTACTTCTTCTTCTTCCTCAAAAACTTCTTTTTTACAGACTTAAAAACTTCTAAAGACGAGGGAAAAAATATTGATCCATTAAAATATCACAATATCTTCATATGCTGATATATTGCCCTTTAAAAACACCATATCAATCTCTTTTACTAATGAAATATTGCTATATGTCATCGTTATCCTACGAAATCCCCCGAAAATTCACGAAATTTTGCCATATTTTTATATGTTGATATATTGACGCGGTATCGATCTATTTTACTAACAAAATCTCACAAGAACTTGCAAAATATCACGAGAGTTTGTAACAGAACGATGAAATTTCACCAGATTTTGAAAGTAAAATAGATCGATACCGCGTTTTTAAAAATCTATTTGATATCAGCATATGAAAATATATTTGAGTTTATTATTTTTCAAAGTGTCAGAAATGGATAACAAAACTGCTATTTTCAATGACTACTTATTTTTGTCCAGCTTTAACATCGGTATCGATATTGGTTATCGGCTACATGAGTTTTAAAATATCGGCATATCGGATATCGGCCAAAATCCCGATATCATGCATCCCTACTATTTTGGCTTTTGAGAGCCAAAAGTTTATTCAACGATTGTCACCCATTCCAAGTAGGCAATAAAAAGGATTCACTTTGTATTAGACGTTTTCTTTACATCCAAGTAGTCTGCAGTTCTTCATATATATACACACACACATCAATTTCAAACAGATTGTATACGTATCAGCTGATACAGCACAGCCAGGTATCGGTATCGGGGCAAAAAACACTAATCCTAGTGATCCATCACAAAAACCACAACAAAAAAAAAAGATATTTGGGCAGAAAGTGCAGATATGTCGGATGCTGATTAAATTAAGCGTTAATTTCCGCATGTTTTGCTCCTATGAATTTAATAATAATATTATGCATGTTCTCCTGGAGCTCAGAGGAGGTCGGAGCGGAGCAGGAAGGGAGGAGCAGAGGAGGCTGGAGGCGTCACAGTGGCGTTTCACACGTGCAAAGGGGAGATTATTATTTTACTCCATAGAGCTGAATGTGTGCGTACATCAGGAAAAAAAATAAATAAACTCTCATTCAAAATTACTTTTTTTCAAATCAAGCGAATTCAAATCAAACACGTTTCCATCTGATCAGGCCTTCAATCCCATATATGTCTCCATGGAAACGTAGCCAGCGTATCCAGGAAGTCGTAGCGAACGCTAACTGACAGGGCTTCAAACATGGATTCTGTCCTCCCGACTCTTCAGGAGGCATTTCCAGACAGAATAAAAACATTTTATTTCCTCTCAAAGAGGACTTTGGACCTGTGAGCAACAGTCCCGACCCTTTTTGTCCTCGGCCCGTCTAGGAGTGGCCTGTTCCAGCCCAGTGATGTCATCGACTCTGGTTCCAGCCTTTCTAACCTCCCCTCTGAGCTACAGATCTCCCTGTTGCTTTAAAACATCTTGACCAAAGTTTTTCCTTCTACTAAACTTTCCAGGAACAGCCAGATTATACCAACCTTCAGGGATTGCTAAAAAATATCTGTCCAGTCAGCAATCTTCCCAACAACTACAGCCAATGAAATAAGATATTTGTGTTATAGACTATTTATGAATCAATGTTTATTTATTTTGCTTTTCTATTGAGCACAACATATAAAATAATTGTTAAAATTTGAAGGAAAACATATAATAACTTTTCAAGAAATGCTCAACTTGTCTCATTTTACCAGAGTAATAACAGGGAATGTTTGAACTAATTCATTTAAATAAACTTCTATTTGATGCCAGGTGAATTTTTTTAATCTTTCAGCAAATCAGAGGGTTTAATCTAAGATGGAGTATTAGAGCTAGGCTAGAGATTTTTTTCTTCTATTTCTAGAATAAATTCATACAATTACGAGAACAGTCGAACATTATGAAAATAAAATTGTAACATTACGAGAATAAAATCATCGTACAACAACCCGTTTCAGGGTTTCACTATTCTCTTTGTGACTTTGTTCTCGTCACGTTACGACTATTGTCGTAACTTTATAACTTTGTTCTCCGTGTGTCACGACTTTATTCTCCGCATTTTCAGGACTTTATTCTCCACATTTTCAGGACTTTATTCTCCACATTTTCAGGACTTTATTCTCCACATTTTCAGGACTTTATTCTCCACATTTTCAGGACTTTATTCTCCACATTTTCAGGACTTTATTCTCCACATTTTCAGGACTTTATTCTCCACATTTTCACGACTTTATTCTCCACATTTTCACGACTTTATTCTCCACATTTTCAGGACTTTATTCTCCACATTTTCAGGACTTTATTCTCCACATTTTCAGGACTTTATTCTCCACATTTTCAGGACTTTATTCTCCACATTTTCAGGACTTTATTCTCCACATTTTCAGGACTTTATTCTCCCAATGTCAGGACTTCATTTTCATAATTTGTGACTATTCTCATAATTTTATGACTTAATTCTCAGATTTTTATGACTTTATTCTCATAATAGAAGAAAATTAACTCTCTAGCCTGATACTCTGTGGTATTACTCTGTATTTAGGAAGAAGGTAAACGTAATTTAGAGAAGTGGCCTCCTGGGTTGTGAAATGACATCATAGCTGCTGTTTCATCAGTAGAATCAAGGCTATAAATGTTGCTTAAACTAGTAGAAAACAGGCTAGTTTGAGTTCAAATTGACATCGGATTTATCACGTTTACACAGTAAAAAAATATCTTAAATGGTTTAATCAGTTTTTGTTCTTATTTACGGTGTAATAAGAAAGTTATTCTGTTTTATGGCTACAGGGAGATAATTATTACCTAGCTTTAATTGAACTTACTAGCCCCCGGAAGCTAACAGCAACAACTGTTGCTATAAATGCTAAATGGCGAACATGCCATTGTGGTTTCTGATTAAGAAGCTGAAATTGTTAAAAAATAAACTCCTATAAACAGTTTGCTAGTTTGAACATAAATATGTAAAGCACTGATGGAAGCCATTGGCCCCCAGTATGTCCACAGCGAGCTGTCAGGCCAGGGAAGTTATCCGGCTAGCCTGATGCTAAAGTTTGCTGTTAGCCACCGAGCTAATTTAGCTAATCAACGCTACAGCAGAACTGGGAGGGAAAAATAACGAGAGAAATAAAAGTATAGGTTTAGTTTCCTCTCACCTGCGGGCTGGTTTGATCCGGACTCACTCCCTCATCCACAGGGCCGGTGACAGGAGCCCCGGGCCCCGCGGACGGAAGCTGGAGGAAGCAGAAGTTTGGGCAGTCCGCTCCCAACTTCACTCGAGTGCTGCTGGGCCACGACGACCAGGCCCACTAGCCTGTCGGTTTATCCCGCAGGGTTCCTCCGGTGCTGGAAACGACTGAACACGAATATGTCCGGGACAAAGTCCCGCTGTGTCCGAGGCGATAAAAACACGGAAATTAATCCACAGCTTTCATTTTTGCGGCGCTGCAGACCCTGGCTGCTGGTAGCTCTGATGGCTGCTGACCCCCCCAGCCAAGTCAAGCTAGCTCCTCACGATTAACATTTACCGGAAGTGATATTATACAATAAAAGCACGCAGTCCGCTTTCAAACGCCATTAAAGGAAGTATTGTTTTATTCTGAAAAGAAACTACCGGATGTTTTTGGTTTGATTTCCGTCTACTTGATTAGTGTAGTTCGGAATGATTACCATTTACCGGAAATCATTTTATACAATAAAAGCACTCAGTCTGGTTTTAAATGCCACTAAAGGAAGTATTGTTTTATTCTGAAAAGAAACTACCGATGTTTTCGGTTTTATTTCCGTCTACTTGATTAGTGTTACTACGTCCGACAAAAACACGAGTCGCGTGATTTTAAAAGCTGTCAGACCATGACAGAGATAACATATTTAAAGAAAAATAAACATTGAAACAAGAATATAAGCCAAGAAAATTACGGAGACAAAAAAACTCATACCTTATCTGCAAAGTTGGTGATTAAATTTGGCAAATAACATTTCTAAACAAAACAAATTTAATTCATTTTCTGGCTCTCTATAATATATTAAGATAATCCATTCCACAAAAATATAAATATTTCACCAAATATTATAAAAACTACAGCAAGATTATTAGAATCGTATAATTGAATGTCGATTAATTACCAATAATTCAAGGCAGACATATTTCAGTATAGATCCGGTTACTAATTATTATATCACTTTTAATTGTCAAACACTGGAGATAAAACATTGCAGGGGAAAGAGGAATTCCACATAAAAAAAACATTAAAACAAAAAACACAGTTTTAAAGATATTTATAACAAGAATTTAGAGAAAATACAAATTTTCATCAGGGCAGGTTATAATTTGACTTTAATCTCTTTGACCAATTTTTGGTTTGTTTTCTTCCAAATTTTTATGTTGAAATTTGCAATACAGAAAATATATGGAGGATAAATATAAGAGGCAAGATTCAAAAGAAACCAGATTAAACAAAGAGTTTTAATAACATTCACATTAGTGGAAAAGAATGGATTCAGTATGAGAAGAAATTAAGGAACAAATATCTTTCTAAATTTTCTAAGAAAACAGTCAAAACCGAAATAAATGATTTTAAAGAGTGACCTTTAGAGAAAGAGCTGCGATTTGACCAATTTGTAGTTTGTTTGGATCATGAGGTAAAAGTGTCAGATTCTGTTTTGAAATGTTTTTAAATAACAAAAGGATTCATTTTTTTAAAAAGTATTTGTTAAAGGGAATTATAATGATATATTTCAAGAGGCATCAACATTAAACAGCTATTTAACCGAGATCTGTTAGGAATAAACTGACATGTTTGTTTTTATATAACATATTTTGGTTGTTTCCGTATATAGTATCTATGTGGAGGAACTTATGCTTGTCAAAGAATGACCAAGATAAAAGCATCTGTTTGTGAAAGTTAGGTCGTTTTAAAAAATAAAAGTAAATCCAGACCTCCTGATTTAGTGAAAAAAATTAATTTGGCATAAAGTTCCAGATTGAAGATGAATTTCAACCAATTGTTTTATCCAAAAATAATTTTTAATGCATTATTAGCTATTTTAAATTCTAAAACGTTCACAAAACCCATTTCATGTTAGCTCTTTATTACCGTTTTTTTTCAACTACAAAAAACAAATTCAGGCCACATAATAAAGAGAACATCAAATTTTGTATAAATTTTCTAAATTGAAGATGGATTTTGAACGTATTATTTTATACAAAATTTATTTTGAATGCATTATTAATGATTTAAAAGTCTAAAAACGTCACAAACCCTCTTCATATGAGCTCTTTATTACCGTTTTTTACAACTAAAAAAAACAAAAAGCAAATTCAGGCTTCCTAATTTAAAGAAAAACTAATTTTGTATACATTTTCTAAATTGAAGATGAATTTTGAACCTATTATTTTTATAAAAATTTTATTTTGAATGCATTATTAACGATTTAAAAGTCTAAAATGTTCACAAAACACTCTTTATGTTAGCTCTTTATTACAGTCTTTTTTTACAACTACAAAAAACAAAAAGGAAATTCAGACCTCTTGATTTAGAGAAAACCAAATTTTGTATAAATTTTCTAAATTGAAGATGGATTTTGAACCTATTATTTTTATACAAATTTTATTTTGAATGCATTTTTAACGATTTAAAAGTCTAAAAACGTCACAAACCCTCTCCATATTAGCTCTTTATTACCGTTTTTTACAACTACAAAAAATAAAAAGGAAATTCAGGCCTCCTAATTTAGAGAAAATCAAATTTTGTATAAATTTTCTAAATTGAAGATGGATTTTGAACCCATTATTTTCATACAAAATTATTTTTTAATGCATTATTAATGATTTAAAAGTCTAAAAACGTCACAAAGCCTCTCTATATGAGCTCTTTATTACAGTCTTTTTTACAACTACAAAAAACAAAAAGGAAATTCAGGCCTCCTGATTTAGAGAAAACCAAATTTTGTATAAATTTTCAAAATCGAAGATGGATTTTGAACCTATTATTTTTATACAAACTTTTTTAGAATGCATTATTAACGATTTAAAAGTCTAAAAACGTCACAAACCCTCTCTATATGAGCTCTTTATTACCGTTTTTTTACAACTAAAAAAAAAACAAAAAGCAAATTCAGGCCTCCTAATTTAGAGAACATCAAATTTTGTATAAATTTTCTAAATTGAAGATGGATCTTGAACCTATTATTTTCATACAAAATTATTTTTGAATGCATTGTTAATGATTTAAAAGTCTAAAAACGTCACAAACCCTCTCTATATGAGCTCTTTATTACCGTTTTTTACAACTACAAAAAATAAAAAGGAAATTCAGGCCTCCTAATTTAAAGAAAATCAAATTTTGAGAAGATTTTTCCAGAATGAAAACCTAAAAGATTTAAAAGTCTAAAAAGTTCACAAAACCCTCTCCATGTGAGATTTTTATCACCATTTATATAGATATATAATGGATTTTGTTTCTAGTTAAAAATGAGCTTGTAGGAGAGCCTTCTTTTATTTTGAAAGTGTAGTTTTGCGTCACTTCCGGTTGTGTGGAATTCTCACAACATCCTCCGCTTGGGAGCTAACGCTTCATCTATTGTCAGATTTGATCAGGGCGGAGATAATCCCGGACATGTCAGACACGGTGAGACTCGATCCTCTGGTCATTATTGGGTTTTTATTCTCTCGCTGGAACCGGAAGCGGCTGTTGAGCGCGTGTTTTTCTTGGTCCATCCTGTCGGGTTATCTAACATGCTAACTGCTAGCCGATGCTGCTTCAGGGCCCAAACAGCCCTCCGGTCCTGGTTCGGTTTTAGTTCCAGCTAAAGCCGGGGCCCCCAGTGGCCCCCAGTCCGTGGGCAGTGATATTTCTCTCCGGTTTGATGTTGGAACCACCGGAGGACAGATGTCCCCCTGTCTGTCCGCCTGTCTGTCTGTCTGTCTGTCTGCGGCTGTTGAAGCTAACAGGTTTGTTTATTTTCCAGGAGACCAAACCGTCCAGTCAGGATGGAGGAGACAAGAAGGATGGAGAGTATATCAAACTAAAAGTGATTGGTCAGGTAGGTTCATCACATTTACTAGCAGCACAATGGGCTCTAATTTATTTATTTCATCTATTTTCTATGTCAACAAAGAGAAAAATGGCTCTAAAAGCTATTTTCATCATGAAAAGCAGCTTTTTGTTTGAATTTTCATTAAAAAACAGGAAAATATTTGAGCCTAAATCACAATAAATGACTTTTATCGATCAATATTTGATCTTTTTTTAGGTAATTGATTGATAATAATCCTTTAATCAGGAGTTTTTTCACCAAACCATCTCCATATGCGCTCTTTATTGCTGTTTTTCTGCAACAGCAAAAAATAAAAGGGAAATTCAGGCATCCTGATTTAGAGAAAATCAAATTTTGTATAAATTTCCAGATTAAAAATGAATTTTGAACTAAATATTTTATCCAAAATGTATTTTGAATATATTATATGAACTCTTTCTAATTAGACAGGATGTTTTCAACCTTAATTTGCAGCAAAGAGCATTCAGCCTTTTTAAATGTAAATATAGTTAAAATCTTTAAATTATTTCCCTTTAATCTCTTTATTATGGACAGGATTTTTCTTGTGCTAATAGAGCGGGTCCTCATGTGTCACATCAGATATTTTATCTTTAACCTGGCAGTTAAATTAATTTATTATTGTCAGATTTTTATGATGTTGCAGAGAAAACAAGCATTGGTTTTATTAGACAGGAGTTTGTTGATCTGGATTAAAGACGGTTTTCCTGCAGATCCTGAAAAAGTCTTAAAAGGCATAAAAAATAAGGCCTTAATTGGTTTAAAATGTCTTCAGTCAGTCTTTCATAGGTCTTAAAATTGTCACCGAGTCATAAATAGGATTTTATTTTTGTGATTCAGACGATATAGGCTGGACAATATAGAAAAAAAAGCTTATCGATAAAAAAAAAAATGCATATTGGTCGATATCGATAATTATTGGAAAGATTTGAAACCATATTTTATGTGCAGCTCTGCCTGGACTTTTTATGATATTGCTAAATGAGTTAATTTTAATAAAAAACACAAACACAGACTTCCAATTAAATCTTTATTTAACCAACTTTTTTAACCATAACAGAATTGTTTTAAAGAAAAATAACTTAAGAGACCTGAGTTATGTTATTAAATACTGACAAAGAATAAACTATAGTGACCAGAAAAGTGACACTCCTGCGGCTGAGATGATAAAAAAAGTTGGTTTCGTTATCAGACTTGGTTTTCACTGGTTCCCGACACATTTTCCAGATGACTGTGGTTTGTTTTTGGTCCGACTTGCCATGACCGAAATACTGCCGAACTACAAAAACCCTTCTTTGGAACAATTTCCTCCGCCTCTCCTTGCTGCGACATCTTCATGTGCTCTGTGTTGTGGTTTGAGAGGGCGGCGCTTGGTGACGGCATGCCTGGGTCCACGATTGTGATTGGTTGGGAGGAAGCAGTGACTAGCATAAACCTACATGCTAGGCTACAATGAGAAGGAAGGAAAACTGCGTTTCTATTGCGCCACATGTCTATCGATCGATATATATCGTTATTGAATTATCGCCCAGCTCTAATTCAGATCAAAAATGAAAATAAATCACGATCATTTTTTTTACATTTACTGAGCGGCTGAGCTGGAAGCTTTATTAGTTCCATCCTGACAGCAGAACAATGATAAACGACGTTGCAAACAGATCTTGGGGCCAATAACTTTTTTTTTAAATGGAAAACGTGTGGAATTGTAAAATCAGTGAAATAAAAAAATAGTTTTCTGCACGGCTAAAAACTGCCGGGTCATTTATATGGCGTATTTGGAGTCTAAGCTGTGGAGTCAGACATGTGGAAAGTGAATTCCAGAGAAATAGCAGTTCCTCAGTTCTGTTCCTCCCTTGTCTCTGAAAGGCCTCCGCTTCATCTCCCATAATGGTTGGTGGTTTCGCCTACAATGAAAGCAGAGCTATTATAGACTTTGAGTCGGGATCATAACAAAGTTTGCGAATTCTATTTATTAGTTGTTAAAATATTTCTGTTATTTGTGTGTTGTTTATTTTTTAGCTTTCTTTCTATATGGAAAGTTTTTCAAAATTGTAAACATTTCTACTGGGCCAGAAAGTAATGGTTTATGTTAAAATAAGCATCAGGATAAATTTGTGTGGCAGCAACGTTTACTTTTGGTTATTGTGAAATTGTTTCACAATAGTTTTTTTTCAAGGAACAAAAAAGTCTTAAAAAGTCTTGAATTGAGCTGAACTTATGTAGTAGGAACCCTGAAAGAAGTATATATATATATATATATATATATATATATATATATATATATATATATATATATATATATATATATATATATATAAGGGATGGAACAGTTTATGAAAACCGTCTGAACCGTTCGGTTCGACTGTCTCGGTTCGGTTCGCGTGTGTTGCGTTCGGTTCATGCGCTGCTCCTTTTTCTCATAGGCGAAGCGTTTACACTCCAGAGCAGAAGGTGGCGGTACTGCGACCAAAGCCACCAGTAGTAGTAAACAAGAAGAAGAAGAAGCGAAGCAGCGTAGCCGGGTGTAGCAGGGAAAAAAATCAGTTGTTGTGGAGAATTGTGTCGGACTGGCGAGTGGGAAAGAACAGGAGTTGGAAGACGCGCCAGCAGCACTTTATAGGTCTGCTGTATGGGACCACTTTGCATTTAGAGTGACCTACGATGACGGCGGGAAGAAAGTTGGGGATAAAAACAGTGTGCAAGCATTGTGCAACACGTTTTGTTTATGCTAACAGCAACACGACCAACATGTCAGGCTAACAATCAACATATACTGAACCAAACCAAAAACCGTGACCACGAAACCGTGAACCGAACCGTGGATTTTGTGAACCGTTCCATCCCTAATACATATATATATATATATATATATATATATATTTGTGTACGAGTATTCTTTGAACAGGTTTCTCCAGCCAGTTGGCGCATTAGACCAGGGACTCATCCTCTGATTCCACAGTTCATCACAAACTGATTGAGAAAGTTTTTCCACAGTGAGAACTGATGATGAAAATAAATAATATTTTTGTGTTTAATAACTTTTCATTCAGATGAGCTTGATTTCTGAACTGTAATCCCACATAATAGGTGATAATGAACCTCTGTGTCAGTCCACGCTATTTCTCCTTTCTTTCTCCACCAGTCATTGTAATGTCCTGTGAGGCTGGAGTAGCAGCAAGGGCTGCTGGGTAATGTCCAAAAAGGGAAAAACTTCACTATTTTATCCTAGATTCGTATTAAAGAGGGTTGTTTACATTGGTAGTGTGTCGATGCAAAGCTAACATGTTCTGGAGGTCGCAGAGTGTTAACCCTATAATGCCAAATGTATCGATACATACGGTTTCTGAAATGTTTTGCGTCTGACACCTTTTGCATAATTTAATGATAAAAACTTTGCTCAAAATCCTATTGTACACAATCAGATATACCTGATAACAGCCAGTAGAAGACTACACAAAAAATAATCTTGACTTATCGCATAGTAATAAATTATTAATATCAAAAATGTATTTCTGTTTTTATTTTTACATATTTTGTTAAAAGGCCAAATAAGGAATTCAAACCAAAAAAAAGTTATTTTCTGTTTTGTTTTATTCTTGAATCGGGCTTTAAAGGGTTAAGTGTGAACATTATCACCATCAGATGATTGTTTCACCAGTTGAATATAACAGAACAAACTGGATCTTGGTTTCAGGCTAAGTTACCTGCTGGAAAATACGTCACAATAAAGTGAAAGTCATCTTCAGCATAGATTCAACTCCCTACCCGATGTAGAGAATAGATTAATGGCGATATTTGGTTTGTAGCGCGATCAGAGTTTGACATGTGTATATATGTCACACAAACTTGCTCCTTGCTTTTTCCCACGTCCTCACCGCCTCGGCCGTATCTAGACCCACAGCTAGTTCCTGATTGGCCCTCTGGTGTTGTGGCGTGGAATAACAGCGCTTAGACCACGCTTCAATATTGGGCATAAATCTAAAATATCTGCTTCATACCTGTGACACCCTGCTGGGGGAGGATAACAGGATGAGCTTCGGTTGGATGTTTGGCGTCCAGTAGGACGGGATCTTTAGCTCTAAGGCCTGCTGTGCTTCTCCTCTGCAGGACAGCAGCGAAATCCACTTCAAGGTGAAAATGACGACGCATCTAAAGAAGCTGAAGGAGTCCTACAGCCAGAGACAGGTGAGAGAGAATAGAGAGGATGGGGGGAGGGGCTTGGAAATGCTGTCAGCTTGACCTCTGACCCCCTGCTGTGTTGTATGGGTGTCCTGCAGGGCGTTCCCGCGAGCACGTTACGGTTTCTCTTCGAGGGACAGAGAATCGCAGACAACCAGACTCCCAAAGAGGTAAACGCCGCTCCGCTTCGGCTCGTTCCGTCCCGCCATGGGGGGGGGATCAGGAAGTTTTCCTTAAATGGTCTTTCTGTCCGTCTGTCTCCTCTGCAGCTGGGGATGGAGGACGAAGACGTCATCGAGGTGTACCAAGAACAGACCGGTGGATTTCAGAACCATTAAACCTCCTTCTTTTTTTTTTTTTTTTTTCTCGCCTCAATCTTTTTTTTTTTTCTATTTTATTTTGTATGTTTGTCGTTTTTGTTCATTTTCAAACCATCTGGATCCAAACGGACTCAAACCGAGCTTCCATGCGCTGGGAGAGAACGAGGTGGGACGGACGAGGACGCTCACCTTTTCACCACGGAACACGGGATGCCGGGTTTTTTTTTTCTATTCATATCTAGAAGCTTCTGCTGTTTTATCCAAAACACTTTTACTATTAAAAGAAAATGTTTATTGTAATAAAATCATGAGCCCTAAAGCTAAAATACTGAATCTGTTTCCGGTTCCAAAGTGAATCTAATGTGAGGAGTCTGGACGTTTCCTTGTTTTATTTTCCTGGTTTGATGTTAAAGTCATTTTAGACGATCCTGAGAAAACGAAAATGGAGCCTAAGGAAGAAAATGACAGAAACTGAAGCTTCTCTGCTGCGTTAGAACTAAATCAGCTCCCGGCTGCTTTCATTTTGTAGGAGGCTTTGATCCCATCAACTAAAACTAGATTTTCCACATCTTTGATCAGTTCCTGCTGTGGTTCCTTTCTCGTCCACCAGGGGGAGCCATACTAACCACATCACCTTCCCTCAGGCTCCTCCTGCAGTAAACTGATTGGTCTCCAGAGGGCGCTGTTGGACAATAACAGTTCTTTTTTTGCCCTCCTGGTTCAGATCCACTGATCTCTATTTATTCACTGGATTGCTGATTGTCAGTTGGTAGTACGGGTTGAAGTGAAGCCACTGGCCGCCATATTGGTACTCCCTACTTAGACTGTTGGCAATGTAAACAATTTGTGCACAACTGCATCAAACAATGATGATGATCACATTTTTATGGTAATTAGATCTAACAGGATTTTACATCAAGACTGATTTAGAAGTACATGTCTGTTAAATACTATAGTAGTTTTCTATTTGCAAATACTGCATGCATGATGCCAGATACTTTAATGCTGCGTCTGTGCATTAGCCTATATTGATGAACTCATTTAATAAGTCAGAGCTTCAGTTTCTACACTAACAAAATCACATAAATTGGTAAAATAACAGGAAACATTCAATTAAATTTCAATTCAGTTTACTTCCATTGCTCCAATTCACGTCATGTCATCTCAAGGCACTTTCCAGTTCACCAGATCAATCTAAGGAAAAGGACTCTTCAGCAATCCCTCACACTAAGCATGCTTGTAGCGACAGTGGAGAGGAAAAACTCCCTTTGAACAGGAAGAAACCTCCAGCAGAACCAGGCTCAGTGTGAGCGGCCATCTGCTGAGGCCCACTGGGGTTCAAGGAGACAGAAGCAGACATAGAAAAAGAAGCATAGATACAAAAGGCAACACCAAGTTCATATTTTGCTCTTATTTACAGCAAGAATCTTATAATAAAAAAATAAAAAAACTATACAAATATAGTATGCATGCACCTGTAAAAAAACTTCCCACAGCCAGCAGACTGCTTGTTTTTGCAGGAAAATGCTTCACAGGAAGACATTTTTACTGCGTGTCTCTGTGGGAGTGGGGAGTACCAACATGGTGGATGGGCGTGTAAAGTTGTGGAGAAACTGTTAAGAAAAGGTTCAAATTTCTTTTCTGTCCGCAGACGGACAGAAAAGCTCAGTCCACATATGTACACTGCTCCAATCCCAACAAACACGAACTCTGCCCTGGAACTATCCCACCCCCTGCATAAAGAACTTCCTCACAGACGAACATTTGGAGGAAAACAACTTCAGTACATCAACATTCCCCATTAGGTTAATATATCTTTCTCTGGCCATCTTTTATCACCCCCAGCCTTCCTTTCACCCCAGCTTTGCTGAGTAAAACCATTCTTCCAGTCCAGTGAATAAACAGAGATCAGTGGTTCAGATGAAGTTTTTCTTTTTTAGGAAGTTTCCACATCGTTTAAACTCTTTGTTTACAGGGACGTCTCACTCTGAGCGGTTTAATCTGAAGCCATGTTTGTTTATGGGCGAGGTTCTGATCTCCGTGTCGTCTCTAATTTATACCTGAGGCTTCCTTTCTGTAATCAGGACAGGATGCAGACTGATTCTCATCTTTTTAAAATCACATTATTTCAAATGTAAGTTGCTTAAACTGAATATTCAGCTGCTTGGGTGGGGGTGGGGGTGGGGGGGTGTTAGCACAGGAGAAGCTGAGCAGCCTGGGAGAAGCTCTCTACTGCCACACAGATCCAGCCTCTCCTCAGCCCGATCCGTGTCCCTCCACCTGGACGCCTCATGGCGGCTCGGAGGAGCTGCTCCGGGCAACGCCGCTCAGGTGGAGGGCTCCATCGTTAAAGGAACGCCGAGGCAGATGGTTCGAAATATCTGGAATTCAGCTGGTTTTACTTTTGTTTTACAATAAAATATCTATAAAATGCAGATCGTTTTTTGTTTTTATTTTGTCAGCATTTTGTATCGAAGCAACAATTAAAGGATATTTGAAGTTTTTCACATTAGAGAGACAATTAAAACGGATGGAATAAAAAAAAAAAAAACATCTTTTAAGACACCAATATGGTGTGGAGTCAGGTAAAAAAAGTACAAATACTTGATTACTTTAAGTAAAAATCTTCTCTATACTTTACTGAGGTCATTATTTTTTTGATAACATTTTTTACTCCTTACATTTTAAAAGCAGACTTGTTAGTTTTGATCATTTAAACTCATATTTGTTATGGTCTGTCGGCATATATATGTTAAAAAAAAAAAAAAAACTGCTAAAAAAAACTCCAAAATAATTAGTTACATCCAGATAATTTCTTTGTAGTTGGACTCGGCGTTGCCTCAACTTGTAGCTCTCTACATATCAAAATAAATAGATTTTCAAGATGAGTCAATGTTAAATGTTATGAAGGAATATTAGGGCCAGGCTAGAGATTTCTTCTTTTTTTTCTGTTTCGAGAATAAATTCGCAACGAGAATAAAGTCAAAAAATTAGGACAATATTCATAAAATTACGAGAATAGTCATACAATTACAAGAATAAAATCGTAAAATTACGAGAACAGAGTCGTAAAATTAAAAGAATAAATTAGTACAATTACTAGAATAAAGTAATACATTTATGAGAATAAAATTACGAGAATAAATTAGTTACATCCAGACAATTAATTTCTTTGTAGTTGGACTCTGCGTTGCCTCAATTTGTTGCTCTCTACACATCAAAATAAATCGTTTTTCAAGATGATTCAATGTTAAATGTTACGAAGGAATATTAGGGCCAGGCTAAAGATTTCTTTTTTTCTTCTATTTCGAGAATAATGTCACAACGAGAATAAAGTCGTAAAATTACAAGAATAAATTAGTACAATTACTAGAATAAAGTAATAAATTTATGAGAATAAAATTACGAGAATAAAGTCACAACGAATATATATATCATATATAAGAATGCGGTGAGTAAAACACAGATCAAGCTACATTAGTTCAAACATGACTCAAAGTTGTTTTTCCCTCTCAAAAATGATAGGTCTAGTTTGAACAGCAATAATAAAGACATGCTTGAGAAAAGGCAGGTCTCATTGTATTAAATTTGTTCTACATCATTTCAACCACAAATGTAGAAAATCTCAGACGTCTAGCTGCAACGGTTGCAGAGCTGTGGGGCTTCGAACTTTTGGTGTCACAGTGTCTCCAGAAATCTCCACATGCGCCAAATTCTTTAACTCCGCTATTGAACCATAGAATAACACTGAAGCATTTTGTTGACCACTAAACATTCTTCAAAAAAAATATTTTTGCACTTTTTCCATTTCCATCTGATGATTGACTGGTGAGGTCACCACCCTATATCGTTTCCCGATTCATCTTTTTTTCAAATATTATTCAGAACATAATGCGGAAAGAAAAAAAAACGCTAAACCACTTTGAACTTTTGACACCTCTGCCAATATGGAGGACAAAAGCCGGATTAGATTCTAGAGCCGGACAATTCTGGTTCCTGGGGGCCAGTATCCTGCAACCTTCAGAACACCTGAATCAAACAGCTGAATTACCTCATCAGGATGCAGTTGGTTCCTCCAGACTCCTCTCAATCATCTAATTACTTGATTCAGGTTTTGTTGAACCAAAGGAACATCTAGTTGCAGGATAGCGGCCCTCAGGAACTGGAATTGCCGTCCGCTGCTCTATAGCCTCTGTTCAATCCAACAGCCGAACATTTTCTAATGCGTTTAGTTTCTATACCACCAAACCCCGCATTAATGTATGCTTAGCTTCTCTGCTACTCACCTGTGGATCCGTTTCCATGCCAACTATGATGGTGGAACCAGCCGGAGGAAGAATAATCCACCTGTGATTGGCTACCTTACAGGAAGTCCCTCCTCGGTCATATTAAGAATTCAAACTTTAATTTAAATGTGAAATTATTCCAACAGCTAGCTAACAGCTGTTAGCCAGGGACACTGGAGACATGTGGTCCAAACGGGGACCGTACCCTGGAAATCGGGACGTCTGGTCAAAGTATCGTAGGAGCTAAGCTAACTTTAGCTTCAATGTTTATATTGAGGAAAATGAGGCTGGAATACGGTGACCAGACGCCCCCCAATTTCAGGGGACAGTCCCCATTTTGGACCACCTGTCCCCGGTGTAGGTACCAGATTGACTCGGGCTGCCAGATTGACTCGGGGGGCCTGCGCCTTTTGATGACGTCATAATATGGCAACTCCGCCCGTCACTATATGGCAACGCCACTCGTAACGATAAGGCAACGCCACTCAAACAAACTACATTGAGCCCGCGGTCTGCATTTGTAATGAGAATAAATAGAGACCGCGGGCGCAATGTAGTTTGTTTGAGTGGCGTTGCCATAATGTGACGTCATCGGGAGGCGCAAAGCCCATGGCGAATTCGGTGATGTCATCGGAAGGCGCAGGGACCATGGAGAATTTCTTCGTAAAATTGTCCGTTTACAAACCGCAATCCCGCTTTCGAATAAAACCTACACCCCACTATAATTACTTTAGTAAGCTGTCCAGACCAATCAAAATGTTTTGCGCAATTGTGCAAACGTTAAAACAATTATGTATTGTGATGTCATCAAAAGGCGCAGGCCCCCGAGTCAATCTGGTACCTACACCGGCTAAAGCTGTCCCCGGAAATGACCGTTCTGTGAATGAGGGAGACAATGTTGCATGTAGACTGTTATTACGGTAAAAAGAGCCCGGGTATGGAAGCAAATCGTTACCATATTTCTGCAGTGCAGACATGCACAGCGCCCCCTACCGAACAAGATGGGTAGCCCGGCCAGCAAGGACCTGAGGAAGAGCTGCTGCTGAC